TTTAAATTTGTTCTATTAGTGTTTCAACAAAATTTGTTCTATTAGTGTTTCAACAAAATTGTTTATTTTAGTGTTTAATTTCCAAGCAATTTTTCATATCTGATCCAAACTGTGGTTGAACCGTTAGATACTAGGACTTCTGTATAATCCGGGTCGAATCGAATTTAATAATTTTTTTGTTAATTGGTTAATTTGTAAAACCCTTTAAAAAACTAAAAATCCGCTATTAATGCATGATTCAGTATCGAATGATCCACGAATAACCCAAAAAATATGATAATTTTTTGATCAAATAACTAACACTTTTAAAATAAATTGAATATTTTGAAATTAGTATATCAATATTATGTACAAAATCACATAGTAAATAATATTTTTTTTAAAAAATTATGTATTCATATTCAATAGTTATATAATACTATGCAACAAAAATGATATTTAAATTAATTTTGAAGTATAACTTACATAAAATTACAACTGATATTATTTAAAAATATGGATACTATTAGTTAGCATAAATATAGAAAATATTCTGCTGTTTAATTTAAATAAATAATTATTTGTACTAAAATTAAATGTTAGTGGCATGGTAATGTAATATTTTCAAAAATAAAAGGCAAAATCCTATATGGAATTCCTCTTTAATAGTATAGATGTTTCATACGGAGAATGATAGAGAATATTGGTTCGATTTTGTGACCTTCAGTGACCTTGAAATACTCTCTGTTCCAAAAAAGGTTTTCTATACAAAATTTCTTTTTCCACAAAGATAAATCTGTTTATATAAACGAGTAAAGGGTATAACTGACCATCAATGTCGAACATGATAAAATGACTAAGTACTAAGAAATGGTCAAGTAAGGAATGATATATAATTATATGCTGTTAGTGTGTACTCCATTGCTTGATGTTTGATATGTTAAATTTGTATGTGGGCGATTTTGAGAATCAATACTGAGTATTGGAGAAAAGATCCTATATCAAAAATATAAATGGGACATGAGTAATATATAAGGTCTTTTATTTGTAAACAAGTGGACAAATATTCTTTGCAAATCCTAATCACCTCAGAAGAATTTCCAGAAATAATCAGATCATCAACATACACCAAGACTTCAAGAGAAACTCCTTGCTTATTGTAAATAAATAGTGAATATCTAAGCGAGTTTGAGCAAAACCATACATGCGTAGAGACTCAGATAGCCGCGAACCAACAGCTAGGAACTTTCTTTAACCCATATAATGATTTTAAAAGACGAAAAGACTCATGTTTCACCGGGTGGTTGAAATCCTTGCAGAAGTTTCATGTATACTTCTTCATGGAGATCTCCGTGAAGAAACACATTATGCATGTCCATTTGGTACACCTCGTGATTATTCTTTGCTGCTATATAGAGAAACAAACGGACTGTGGTCATCTTAGCAACATGTGCAAATGTTTCTCTATAATCAATTCCTTCTTTTTGGTGATTACCAAGTACAACCAAACGGGCTTTAAACCGTTCAATGGTGCCATCATCTCTGTATTTGATTGTAAATACCCGTTTACATCCAAGTGCTTTCTTGTCTGAAGGTAAATTTTCAAGTCTCCAAGTTCCACTGATTTCGAGTGATCCATACTCGGTATCCCGATATTTTACCCAATGTTCGTGTCTCTTTGCCTCTTCATAGGAACGTGGCTCAACATTCGTCGTCAAAGCCATCAGGAAGCTGCGATGGTTAGGTGAAAAACAATCACAAGAGACAAAATTTCATATAGGATAAGATGAACCTGAGGGTAGCTGAGAAGCAGGTGATTCAGAGAGAGAGGATCTTTTATCAAAACTGTACCAATAACTTAATTTTGAAGTCGCTTGGATTGTTTTTTGGAATGATGTCCCCTTCCTAAATTCTCATCTGGTTTCATCACTGTTTCTATCACTGCAGACATCTCAGCAGATGTATCAGTCACAACGTTCTCTTCATAAGGTTCTGTTGTAATCTCTTCACTCAGTGTGATTTTTTCATGAACATGTTATGTGGGTTCCTCGTCAATGTCTAGAGGAGTCAGGATTGGGTTTGTGGGAACTCCATCATTAACGGAAAGTGGAGGTTCTTTGGAGGGAAAAGGAAAACAGTCCTATTGAAATACTACATCACGAGATATAAAAGCCATATGCTTTTCTAAGTCATATAATTTCCATCCTTTCTTCCCATACAAATAACCCAAAAAGATGCATTAAGTTATTTCTAAGAGAAACTTTATTACTTTTATCCAGAATCATGGCCATATAAGAGGTCAAACAGAGTATTATTCTCAAACGGTTGATCAAATATCCAGCACTAAGAACACATTCCTCCCAATATTCTAAAAGCAAGTGCCGATGCTTTCTTTCCACATGACCATTTTGTTGTGGTGTATAAACACAAGATGTCTCCTGGTTGATTTCATTTTCATGAAAAATTCTAGTAAGACAGATAAATTAAGTACCATTATCACTTCTTATTCCGTCACACTTTCTTGGAAAACTGTCTCTCGATCATTGCCAAGAATTCACAATTTTTTTTTGAGACCATCGTTTTATCAGGAAGAAGATATAACACTGCACGAGAATGGTCGTCTACTATTGTCAAAAATATCGAGATCCGTAAAATGAACTAGTACGATAAGGACCCCATAGGTCGCAATGAATTAAATCAAAAACCTCTTTAGTTTTCTTAGAACTATTAAGAAAAATCTGACGAGTCTACTTGGCTTGTCATCACAGGTCTGATTCTAAAAAACATTTCGACTACTAAAAGTAATAAGAACACCGGGAACCATTCCAATAACTTGAGGAGACGGATGACCTAGAAGGTGATGCTACAAAACCAAATCATCACGAACAATTTTCTGCAGAGATGTCAATGTCTTGATCTCACAAAACCGGTAAAGTTTATCATGGTATCATAGCTTGAACAAATATAAACATGATCTCGCAATCGTGAATGTCTCTCTCTCAACTTGATTCTCTCGATTATTTTGTTTCTTGAAAACATAGATTCAAACTCTCTATGATGCCAATGACTACTACTGATCTAAAATACAAGACGATCTCTCCCTATGATCTGTCTGCAAGTGAACCTCTGTATGGCATTGGGCTCTCGGAAGAAATTTGGGTTCTTGGATGGTAGCATACCGAAGCCAGAAAATGACTCTGCACCCCTTGAAGATTGGATAACTAACAACCATTTTCTGGTTGGTTGGATCAAACAAACAATTGACCCGAAGATTCTCTCTTCGATTTCAACTCGCGAGATTGCTAAAGACTTGTGGGGATATAATCAAGAAGCTATTCTCTCAGAAGAGTGGAGCTCGCCTGCAGCAACTCTGAAATCAATTGGCTACGTGCAAGCAGAATGGATCCTCCGTCGATGGTTACTTGAAACTTCGGAAGACTGACCAAGTTGTGGGATGGGATTTCAGAATGTATGAACTCCAATAGATGCTCATGTAACAAGTGTGAGTGCGATCTCAACACTGCTCATGATAAATAAAAAGAAGCACTGCAGATTCATGACTTCCTCTCGTGACTCGATAGAGTGGTTCTGTCCATGGTGTGATACGATCTCAGTTGTGTGCGATTACACCTCTCCCAGGCTCGATAGTGTGTATCAAACTATTGTACATAATGAAACGATCAGACTGAATGTTGTGAAAGAAGTTCCGGTGATGAGTTTTGCATCTCAAGCCAACTCAAATCCGTACAACAAAGCAAGCACAATCTCTACACGAGATGTGACTCGCTAAATTGACAATCAAACATACCGTGCTGGACAGATGAATCGTGATATGTCTTGACACTGCACAGCGTGTGGACATACTGGACATGAGGTAGCAACTTGCTACAAAGTAGTTGGTTACCTTGAGTGGTGGGGTGAGATCACGAAACAGAGGAGATAATAGGAGCACTACAACTGGACGGGGTCGTGGTTCTCATCCATGAACTAACAGAGTGAGTCTCACAGATTTTGATCGCCAAGGATTGAGTGGTCTTATAGATGAACAGTGGACTGCAGTTAAACATCTTCTCAGTAGGGAGAAATCAACTCCTCAATTCAGTGGTAAGAGCAATGAAAATTTGTGGATACTCGATACGGATGCGACACATCATATGACTGGTCGCCTAGACTTGCTAGACGAGATTCACGATATTGCTCCCATTCTCTTCTTGTTGGTTCAGACGTAATGGCAACGAAACATGGGACAATCCATCTCACTTTCCTATTATCTTTGAAGAATGTTTATCATGTTGATGGGTTTCATATAGATCTGATTTCAATGGGGGCAATTAGTGCAAGCAGACAACTACTTAACTAGTCAAGTGATAGATAAATTGATAATTTTGCAGGATCGACATGCGAGGATAGTGACTGGAGCAGATGAAAGAGAGAGAGAGAGGGGGACTGTACTGGCAATGTGAGATTTTCTCTCTAATACTGAATACTTTTATATGTTCATATCTCCTTTTATGATACTGGTGAGTAGTAAGGAGTAGTTATGCGGACCAAACATGACGATGAAACTACGTATTTATAAATTTGGAGGATTTTATGGAACCTTTACCAACCTTCTTCTACGGTTATCTAACTTGTTTTATTAAAAGAGTTGCAATGTTTATTGAAATTTTACCTAAAGAAATTTTCAAAAATTTCTGGATCTGCATGTTTCACGCGGAAATTAAATGAAATTCCCACCACTAGTCAACTCTAACTAACCAATTGTTTTTACCAATACATGTCACAGTTCACTACTTGGATAATTATGCTTAATCACACTCAAGATTAATAAACATTATTATTGTTCTTGTGATGGACACGTTAATTCTCTCTCTCTCTTTTTTTTTTTTTTTTTTTTTAATTTGTTCCTTATTAATAAAATGGATGCATCACAATGAGTCAGTTAAGCCTAAACACACTGATGAGGAAACAACTCCCACAAAACTCTTGAAAAATACATACACAACATTGACATTTTTAACTTACACTAGCTCCAGTGCGTTCTCAGGAGGCCTGATCCAAATGCTCTGAGAAGATCGTTGCTTTCCCCAGTTAACATTGTGCTCACCCGGATGGTATCGCCCTTCATCAAACGAATATGTTAAGCACCGGTTCCCATTGTCACATATCTTAGGAAAGTAGATACTGTTCCTTAACATCCCCTCATGGACATACGTCCTTGTTTCACATGAATTAGTACTCACAAAGATCGTCAAACTACCAATATTTTCCTTCTTCTCCCAAACATCTCGTGTAAGATCGAGTTTAAAGGCCGAAGGCTCTGCGTTTCCAAATGTACATATGAGAAATACGTCTCCTTTATAACCCACCATGAACTTTCCTTCATACCAGCTCTCATCATCAATGTGATCAGGACATACAGGTGGCGGTACGTCAAGGACATTCCACGTCCGTAAAGAAGGATCAAAAACCGCGAGGTTGTTTCTTAAGTTGAGACAGTAAAAAAAACCATTTGAGAAGACAACATAGTTACGTTTAGCATCAAGAAACTGAGACGAGACCTGCATTGAAGTCCACGTGGTTTCACCCGGACTCCATGTACGGATTGTAACGTGGCCTGGATCATAGTCTTTGATTGTTAACACTACACAATCACTTGATGTAGGAGCACAAGAGAATCCGACTAACTGGTAACCATGCCACAGCTCAAGATAAGGCAAGACCACAAAGTCCATAGTAAAAGGATTGAACAAGACAAAGTCTGTTGAAAGGTTTTTGCTCATAAGAAGCCATCCGTCTTTAGAGTAACGCACTTTAGAGCCAGCTAATGAATTAGGCAGCTCCTTTGTATGTCTCTTGGAGTTTGATGGATTGTAAAACTCGTAGGAGTTTTTTGATTTAGGGAAGTACATTAGCCCAGGAGGCTGGTCCGTGATTCTAACAGACACTGCTGCTTCGTACCAAGGTTTGCATACGGCAGAAGCTCGTACGTTGTCTTGGATTTCAAGATTAGTCATTACTGATATCAGAAGCTCTAAGGGCAAGTCTCTCCAAGTTTGATTCTCAGCCTTTTCTTTTGCAATCTCCATGCTCATATTGGATCTGATAAAGAGTTGACCACAAAATAATAACACTTATCATTCATTAATAAGATCAATTCAATCAGATATTCATTTCCAAGAATTACATAAAGTTCTCTCTTTTATTCTCACCAAATAAGAAACAAGAATCAAAACTGAAACCCATAGATAGAGAGAGCAGAACGAAACAAAACTTACGGTGTACTTTCTTGTTCTTCCACTTAAGTTTGAAGGGTGAGACGAGAGAGCGATTGGGGTTGATTGAATCGCACCAGTGACCCGAGGCGATAAGTTTTTTTTTTTTTTTTTTTTTTTGTGAGCAAGCGATAAGTCTTATAATACCAAAGCCGGTACCAACTACATGTCAAACCCAAACATTTCTTTATATTTCCTTTCTACGAAAGATGTTTCTTTATAGTTATTTCTTACATTTTTTTTTTTTGAAAGTTAACTCAAATAATATAAATTAAGTGACCGGCCTGCACCCTGTGCAGGTATATACAGATTCAAATTATGGACTTAATAATACAAAGTTTTAGAAATAATAGATTTTATATCATAAGACCACCGTCTTTGAGGTAAAACATCAGACACAGAAAAATGTTGGTATACAATATTTTACATGGAGAAGATGGAACAAAGTAACTTTAGTATCAATATGTAGTTATTATGTGTATTTATAATTGCAACATCACAAAAAAATTTGTGTGTTGAAGGTTGAATTTTATTTTCCAAATCTGAAATTAATAGTATGTAGTTTTTTATAAGTAACTTATTTTCTATTATCACTAATTAGAATTGTATTGTATATGTGTTGTAATTCTTTATTTTAGGTGAAAAATATTATTATGCATAAATACATATTCTCTATTATGCTAAAGTTATTTTATAAACAATTTTTGTTGTTAACATACATTTGTACTAAGCTCTAAATAAATATTTACGTGTTTCATTATGATATTAAGATATTTT